TGATGGGGCGTATCAAGAGGTTGGGTTTGGCGCAGCCTCCTGATACGCCCTATCATCCGCGAAATACAAGACAGTGAACCCCTCAAGACCATATATGACTCTCTCCAGAGTGACTCACAGGCGACCCCCTCATCAAATGTTCCTCGGATTCAGCGCATTGTAGTTGAGGGAAATTTTATACAAATAGCTACAAGCAGGATTGGATCCAGAATTGAACTCCAGGACTATGCACGTGATAGCAGCCGACACTTACCATTACTCTACCACAGGAAAACCAGAAATTTTACACAGAGCATATTACGTCCACATTTAATTAATGCACCATTTCTTTCAGAATCGAATGCACGAATCTCTGAAATTATTCGACTCGATTTGCAACAATAAATGGTTCACGGATACGTCAATTATTCTATTTTTGAACAAAAAAGATCTCTTTGAGGAGAAAATCAAGAAAAGCCCGCTCACCATTTGTTTCCCAGAATATTCAGGTATGTTCTAACGGACATTTAGCTCCATTATAATAACTATCACCTTGGGCGGCCTACCGTATCCGTGCAGAACCCTCGTCTATCTTGCTTTCATGAGGGAGCTTATACTTCCTTTCATAAGTGAATGGGCATAAGGGATACGGCATTCAACGTGCATGGGGCCCACGTCCATTTCCTTTGCAGAATGCGCTCTGTCCTGAATTCGACATTCATACAGAGTTGCCCTAGCATTTGGATGCTTACCTAGACTACATAGCAGCTTTTAGGGGCCAACCAATATATACACCAGTGTTTTGTGCTCTGAGACCCTGAAGAGCCCGGGACCAGTTCAACTGTGTGAGATTTGGTCCTGGATCTGATCCACCGGTCATGCATGTAGAAAATGAGGCACCCAGAGCTCCCGATCGGTAAGGTGGCTATAGAGAGTCGTCAGGTGGTCAGCTTCAAAGAGCAATCAGTTCAAAGATGAGTCACCTTTTCCTACGGATCCGCGCCTAATGATCCCTCGAACATCACCTAATCAGGAACACGTGACCTCCTCACCCTAAAGCGGTTCCACTTGCCATTGCTCCCTTCGTTCACGCTGTTATATGAATGAGTACAAATAATCCACCTGTCCTTTTACAGGTCGACAAGATTACCACGAGGCGTCCGCCTACATTCAAGCCCAATTTGAAGCGAAGAACAAGTCTGCCAATAAGGTTTGTTTACCTTTTATTTCTCACCGTGTTCTAGATATTTTATTTGTAAACTTCAATTTTTTATATTTCTCGTAAATTTTATGTGTCCCTAAGAACAGCCCATTTTCTCTGTTTGCTATTACACTTATCCTCTATATCAATAGTATTATGCACCACGTGGAACTTTCTTCCAACAGCAGTGAGCACACCTGTCGTTGGGGCGTACTATCCGGAAGTACATATTCTGTACTTGCTGATGCCTGTTGCTATTTAAAAGGAGAACGCCGCAGGGCACCACCATATCAAGGCCTCACAAATGAACCCGAGAAGCATCTATTCGACTGATACGCTTCACCTGCGGTCCCTAGTGAATTCTCTTAATGGGTTGCTAAACAATCATCCCGACTCTTCCCATAGAGCGACTGCTAAAGTGGCTCCAGGGCGCCTTCTATCACTGACAGCGACAAAAGCACTATTCGTATTTTCCGTGAAAAGCTTCCATGACTAAGTCTGACCATCGGTCTGACGGTCTTTATGGTGTTCTCTTGACGTCCCAAGGGTTCCTTTCCGGTCCGAAGGTCGACGCGGCCAGCAAATCAAATATTTTTCACCATCAAGTGTCACAATCCCCACCGAATAGTCAGCATGGAGGTGTAGCTCCTAAACTGAAGTCTAGCCTGATAGCATGTTTTACCAGACCTACGGATCCAAAATATTCTTCATTTCATTGCATCACTCGGAACGACCTATCTCCTCATGACCACACGTTTTCTCCACGTGGTGATACCCTTAGCTCAGATGGGTTATCAGCCAAAAGACCAATGTGAGCTCAAGGCATTTTGCGAACCTGAGCTGGAATTCGGGAACTGACAACTCTTTAGTTTCATATGTAGTATATATACATGAGGAAGGGATCGCTATTGTAACCTTGGAAACCTTCATGCTCACTTGGAACACTTTTTCTAAATAATCATGAAATTGGGCGCTGGCTGGGGTTGGCTACTTTAGAGCCCTACGAATTCCTGTAAGAACGTCGTTTTGCGATTTTCTTTTCATGTTGGAGGGCTTTAAGTGCTGGTTGATGAGAAGAAAAAATGTGAACCGCGGGGTTGATGGTACTTTGCCTGTAACCAGGGGAAAGAAGAGCTCCGGGGCGGGCACATGGATTTCAGTTCAGTGGTTTTCATGTTTTTCGAGAGATGGTTCACCTAGTCCGGAAAAAATGTTTCTCGTTTGTTTCTTTAGCTTCGAATTTGTAAGACATCTTACTGGGAGTTAACAGGACTACAAAATGGCACAGTTACCTTTGCTCGCAATTAATGTGGGCCGTGTCAGCGAGGCTGGGTTTGGCGCGCCTCCAGCCCTTTCTCCACTAGTCGTTGAAGCGGGTAAACGACAGTATTTGGTGAGGAGCGACTAATACGAACGATATGATACAGCCTTGTCGTTTGCCGAAAGAAAAAAAGAATAAAACGGGCTGGCGTTTCGCCTCATCCCCTTCTGACCCGCTCCATCATCCGCAGCGAACAAGGCTGCACGGAAGTTCACGGAGTGCCCCTCCATCCGGAAAAAAAGAAAAAAAATGGGCTAGCACCACGAATTATTAGAAGGCGCTGTTTATCGACGGGGGGGGCATTTTGTATTATAATTGCTTCCCTGGTTCCGGTTTACAAATCTCACTCTAAAACTTGTGAACGCTTGTGAAGCTGGAGCAAGATCGTCTAGCCACCATCCTAAAACGTGTCAACTCGAAAAAAGGGTACCTAGATGGGTTGGCAAATCTATGAAA